TTTTTAAGAATGATGCGAATTATCATGGACGATTCCCACTTTGTCTCATTTAGATCCTCACACCACTCAGTCTGAAACTGAAGTGCATCACATATTAGATCTTCAGAGCGTAGCTCAGAGTATGTCGAATGCTTTCACCGATCTAGCGCGAGTGATAAGATCACATATTCTAGCTGCGAATGTGCTTGCAAAGATAGATGTACCAAATGTACGACGAACTTCCCTCCTGGAGGCCTGGGATGCAACTTTGGTCGATCCACGTACATTAACAGCTAGCCAATCCTCTGCCCCTACACAAAAGCGTGGTAAACTGCTTGGTTTAAAGGATTCACACTCCCAGAAGAGAAAACCCACGGCACAGGCTCTTGCTGAGCCTACCGTGAATCCGACTGTCGCCTACTCATTTTACCCAACTCATGGGGAAATTCTAGATTACGGAAGCGTCCTTAAAGAGATGAATCCACTTCCCGAAAATTGTAAGATTTCGGTTTATTATGCTAGCTTGGATGATGTTTGGTGTAGAAATGAGATGATCATCGATAATGCATTAGCATATGCAGTAGCTATTGAGATCATGTTAAGCGTTGACATTGAACCTCGTTTCGTTGATGAATGTCGACGTAGAATTGATTGGTCAAATTGGAAACAAGCAATCCAAGTCAAACTCGATTCATTTGCAAAACATAAGGTGTTGGACTTGTAACTCATACTCCTCCATATGTCAAACCCGTTGGCTACAAGTGGGTTTTCGTTCAGAAGCGTAATAAGAAGAACGAAATTGTGTGTTAGAAAGCTCGTCTTGTTGCGCAAGGCTTCTCACAATGCCATGGGATTGACTATGACGAAACTTATTCACCTGTTATAGATGTGATTACTTTTCACTACCTTATCAGTTTGGTAGTTTCTAAAAAACTGAGTATACAGCTGATGGACGTAGTAACTGTGTATCTTTATAGGGGTCTTGATACGGAAATTCATATGAAAGTTTCCGAATGACTTACACTTACTCTATTGTTTGAAGCAATCTGAAAGAATGTGATATAATCTTCTAAGTGAGTATTTGACTAGTCAGGGATATATGATCAACGAACTATACCCTTGTGTGTTCATTAAGAAGTCACATTCCGATTTTACGATTTTTGCAGTTTATGTCGACGACATGAACCTCATCAGAACTTCTAAAGATCTCGAGAGAACTGTCGGGCACCTAAAGAATTTGAGATGAAAGATCTAGGAAAGACTTGATAATGTCTCGATCTTGAGATAGAGCACTGTTTAGATGAAATCTTAGTACATTAATTGAACTACACCCAGAAGTTGTTGAGCCACTTTAACAAGGATGAAGCGAAGCCTTCGAGTACTCCTATGGTCATTAGATCACTAGATGTGGAACGAGATCCCTTCCGTCTAAAAGAGGATGATGAAGAGATTTGGAGCCTGAAGTTCCTTATCTAAGTGCGATATGCACTTTATTGTACTTAGCTCAATGCATTAGACCCGACATCTCCTTTGATGTTAATCTTTTGGCAAGATATAGTAATGCACCAACGTGCAGACACTGGACTGGTGTTAAAGACATCTTCCATTACCTTAAGGGTACTACAAATATGGGCTTGTTTTATCTCCATAGATCCTCGAATGATGCTACACCCCCTTATCTCGAGTCAAACCTCGCCTTTTTGGTTATGCCAATGTAGGATACTTATCTAATCCGCACAAAGCGCGTTCTCAAACGAGTTATGTCTCAAACGAGTATCATGAAACATACTTGCTTGATCTTAATGTACTATTTTTCTCTACGATTAGGAGCATTTTTCCCATTGGGTTTTTGCTACCTAACGAGGTTTTGATGAATCACCCACCTTGGGTTAATCATATCCCTGATGACGTCCCATAGACGTTTTCTTTGACTTTGCATTACTCACGCATTTTTCCTTAGACTATGGATTTTTTTTCCTACTTAGGTTTTACCATAGCCATTAGGTTTTTTGTGAGACTTAGTTCCATCTGTAAGTTCCTACTTTACTTTGAGACTAGCGTGTTCTCATAATTAGTGCCGACAACTCTACATGATGCCGAATCTACTTAAGTATTTACTCACTCAAGGGGAAGTGTTATAAACATTGTATTTAAGTGTGTTTGTGTAAATCCTATATTAGATTCGATACTAATCATTCTTCCCTATTAGGACTTGTATTCTTTGGAGGAGAAGGATTATTCCCCTCTTATTACTATAAATTAAGGCATTGCGTAGGGGGAATAATACATTCTCTACACAACCTTACAAACACATCTCTCTCTACTCTCTTTGCCATGCTCCCTCTCTCCCTTGTCAGATTAAAATAAAGCTACAATAAAATCTACTTTCTTGGGGGCCGCTTGATAACAATTACGTTTTCACTTTTTTTTTTCTCACTTGTTTGAAATCTGAAATCTTGTTGGTAACTATTTTCAGTTAGTTATAAAAAAACCCAAAAACTAAATACTACTTTCTTGAGTATTCAAAATTTGGCCTTGAATTTTCACTTTTTGGATATCAATTTTCATTTTATTGAATGAAAACTGAAAGTAGTTACAAACAATATTTCAGTTTTTAGTTTTTAACAAAGAAAAAGTCAAAACCAAAAGTCAAAAACTAAAAACGAATAGTTATTAAATGACCACTAAGTTAACCACTATGTTTTGCCATAACAAAAGTTTGTATTCGCTATCAATATGGCATTTTTTTGTCCATTTAATCCTCTACATGCGTGCAAAATATGGGCCGACTAAGTGCTAAGTCAAAAATATAAAGTTAACCTGAGGGCTAGATTTGATTTGAGGGTTAGATTTGATAGAGGCACCAATATTGCAAGAATTTGTAACTTTTTTTTAATTATTTATATAGTAAGGTCTCAAGGCTCGTTTAGAAGTGCTTTTAAAATGATTAAAAGTACTTTTAAAGGAAAGAATTTGGGTTCTAGAAAACACTTCAAGTGCTTTTCTACGATCATTTACATTTTACTAAGGATTGGTTCCAAAAACATATTCACAAAAAATGGTATCACTATTTTAAATGTATTTCCAAATGAGCCCTTAATTTTTAGGCTTAACTACATCAACATCCCTATAAAACTCAACTAGAGTCTCAATTGTGTTTTTGTACTTAATCCTAATTTAGTAACATTTCTAGTTGAGTCTCACTTAATCAAATTTTAGCCAATTTACTCTTTGGAAATGTGAAACACTGTCAATTTTTATCCATAACTATTTTTTTTCAATCAATTAATCCCTGATATTTTATAAATAGCCACTTATCTCCTTGTTGTTAGAATACTCAAAATTACATCCAAAATTTTATTCGTCATGTGGACAAAATTTGAACGTCACTTTGCCGTGAACATCACTTTGCCGTACTTTAGATGAGTAGTTGCTATTAGACCTATATCAGTCAGAGGGAAAATAGAATTGTTTGCGGTGGTGGGCATTAGTGAGGGAAACAAAGTCATTTTGCCTTCTTTAGTGGCTTACGTTTGTTGTTTACGTGATAAATAGGGACGAAATAATAGGTGAATTTTTTTTAATATATGATAGTGAGGAAGAAATTGACTATTTATATAAGTTTATGGCACAATTGGCTAAATAAAAAATTGAGGATAAAATTGAAAATAATTTACAAATTTAAAGAGTAATCGGCGAATACCTTTAGTTACCAAGTTAGCATTTGTAAGACTTACTCCAACCCTTGAAGTAATACTCAAATTTAAGCTTTTAAATCTACTTCAACTTGCTCCAATCCTTGGGCCAAATATGAGTTTTAACCCAAGCTCATATTTGGGGCAAATTTAGCCCAAAATTCTCCCTGGGTTAATGGGCCGACCCACCATATATGTGTACTTTGTTTTAGTTTTATATTTATAAATTCATTGAATAAAAAAAAAAATCTAGCGGTCCAAATTTAAGTCCATCAGCTAAATAATTAAATTTTTTTTTCTTCATGTGTTCCATATTATTTCATAGTTGTCGGATTAGTGATTTTTCAATATTTATCTGAATCTATATATTTTTACGTTAAAATGTTCATAAATTAAATTAGGAGAGTCCACATATATATATTTTTTGAAAGTTACTTTAAGAAAAAAAGTATTAATTTCTTTTTTAAAAATCTCGAGTTGAAATTTTAACCCAAAGGGGTTGAAGCAAAAAATTGTTTATGGATTAAAACTTTTAGGTTTTAACCCCATGGATTGGAGATGGTCTAAAACAATACCAGTAGAGAAAAGAGAAAATTAATTTAAAAATTGATGGATAAAAAACTTATCTGTTAGTGCAGTTAAGTCTTGAGCAATTTTCTTAGTGTGAGTAAATATAAAAGATTTAGATGGGAAAAAAATATATGTAAGAGAGAAATGTGAAAGGGGAGAGAGAGAATGTGGAAGATGTTTATATTTTATTTTCTAAAGTGAAAATATGCTATGATAACATGTGAGTGAGAGAAACAAACCGCAAAATAATTAGTGCAAAATTATATTATTGTCTCTGATTTTATTTTGTAACCTAATGATATTGTTCTAAACTGTAGTACTAAATAGCTATTAATAAATAATTTGGACTAGACAATTCGATGTCGTGTCAGATTTGGAAAAATATACCCATAAGTTTGAACCTTGCGGTTGTAGGCCCCTACAAGGAATCACATGCATAATTGGGCATTTAGCAAAAAGTGTTAAAAAAAAAAACCTCCAAAATTATAAAAAAAAATTTATAAAAACCCAAGTTTAGGATGAATAATTAAAAAAGAATTTAAATGCAGGTGATGTTTTACAACTATAACGAAAAACGATCATACTTATAGACCATTTTGTTAATTCAATCTTCACCAATTTTCTTTATTTTAACAACTAACTATTTAACTCTAGCATTATCGCGATACTAGAAAACAAAGAATTTTGATAAACTGATCATGTAAATGCATATTTGTTTTTGGGCAAAAGTAATTGCAATGGGGAAAAATGAAGAAAGAAGATGGAAGTATTAGGTGGTAACTGAAATGATTTCAATTGGGCAACGCTGAATAAAAGTCGTCTCCCTTCCAGCACTGACCGACGGCTTTTCTCTTCTCGATTTTCCTCTCAGTCCACCTTCCCTCTCTCTCTCCCTCTCTCTCTCACTCCCTCCACTTTCTCTATCTAAAAAGACCAGCACATACAATTAGATCAAACCCATTTTTCCGATTTCGTATTTGGAGGAGTTGCTGATCTTCCCTGACGGTGTTCGATTTCTGCTGCTCCTTTGATCCAACGCAGGACCCAGGAGGATCTCGATTGGATTTGGGGGAGCTGAGGAGTGGTGGCTTTCTCTCTGTGTGCGTATCGGTAGGGCTGGATCTGGGCGGCCATGGCGTTGTCAGGCATGCGAGGCCTCTCTGTTTTCATCAGCGACATTCGGAATTGTCAGAACAAAGAGCAGGAGAGGCTCCGGGTCGATAAGGAGCTGGGGAATGTCCGTACACGCTTCAAAAACGAAAAGGTTAGTCATTTAGGTTTAGGGTTTTCACTCTTCGAATGTATTGTTGCGTTGCAAAATTCGTTCTTGTTAAGTTCGGGGCTTGGGAAACGAATGAGGATTTTGATCTGGGGCATGGAGGAATTGGTTCATTGCTTGAATTAGGTATTTGGGTTTTTCTAGGTGTTTGCTTGGCTGCTGAGAAAGTCTGAGAAATGAAAGGAAACTGAGATTTTGGAATTTTGGGTAGGAAACTTAAAATTTGCAATTTTGGGTTTCTATTAGTATGTGGAAGGGAAAATGTGAAGTGAGCTTGAGGTGGATTCTGATTCCAAAATAAAGGTTACATAGTGTATACAATTATTGGCGTTTGCGGTGAATTTGGTGGCATCGGCATTCCCCTTTTGGCTTTCAAACTTATTTAGAAATAGCTTTGATGTGGACTCGTTATTCGAGAGAGGCAATAGGAATTTTGTACCGCATATATTCCTTGGTGTTATAAATTCCATTGATGTTAATATAATTAGCTCAATGAAGGGAGAGTTGCAGTTGATGGGCTTCAAATGATAGGCATGAAAATCCAGAGGTGTTCGCCTTCACTTGCTTTGTTTTTAGTCTTTCTGATGAATAACATAGAACCTTATGGAGTTTTAGTTAATGTTTACCTAGTTAATATGATAGGTTTTGTAATCTCAAACTGAATTCTTGTTATGAGAGGGAATAAGATGGGAAGTGAAACCTAGTCTGTGCTTAGGGAGATTGGAGAACACATGGGGATAGTCTTGACGTTTTGTGGCATTGCTTCAGCTAAAATGTGTCAGTGTTCCCTCATTTAAATTCTATTGTTTGTAGTTCTAAGGTCACACAACATCCATTTTGAAAATGTCAAGTTGGATTGAAATTCATCCATTTAATAACGTATACCTTGTTGTTCTTATACTGAATTTAAGACTCAATCTGTAATCACATTTTGGTACCCTTGTGATTAGAACATGAATTGTTTCTATCCATTGAACTGAACTTGATGACTGACTAAATCTTTTACGTGTCGGCAAATATACTGTAAAGGATTTAAAAGTAGATAAATGTCACCTGTCATCTTTAAACTACTATCACGGTAAAATGGATGTTTGTATTAAATCAGAGATATAAATATTTTTATTAAAGCTTAATCTTTCCTGTGTTGAAGATAAAATGTTATCAACATGTTGTCAGACCCTAAAGTTTAAAGAAATGTGAGGGACCATGGGGTGGTATTCCATAAGGGTACCGCTGTACATGGGCTAGTCTTAGAAAGTGTCATGTATCCATGTCTTATTCCGGAATACACTCCCTGATCTTCATTCATCCCTTCTATATAGTACCATGTCATAGATTCTATTGAAGTTCATTTGCATGACCAAACAGTCAGTTATGTTAATGCATCTGTTATTCTTTTTTCAAGGGATGATATGACACAGGGGGCATTTACTGTCTTTTTTTCTTCTTCTTGGGTTGTCTATTATAATTCAAAATTGTGGTTGGATATTGACTATGGTTGAAGCGATTTTGATTTGTTGTTGACCTTTTCTAGTAGTTCTGCACACTCACGTCATATGTTATGTGTCACCACCACTCTTGTATTTTTGTTGAGTCAGTGAGCAATATAATTTCTCTACATTTTTTCAACTTACCATAGATTTAATGATCTATTCTTGGACTGTAAATTTGGCAACTTAAATCATCGGCTGTGGAGCAGCTAATTGTTGTATGTTGTCTGTTTTAGCCTTATACCAAAGATTGTCGCACCATCTGTGGATTTTAGGTTTGGCCAGCAAAGATGTGCACTTATATTGACTCATTTTTAACTCATGAAAATTTGAAGCATTTTTCTATCTTCTGATTCTTTCTTCATGGTGTCAATCAAAAGTTATTATTCTGTGTTTGGGAACAATTATTGTACTGCCTTGTTGACGACTTCTGTTTGCTATTGGTGCTGCTGTTCCAGCTCCCTGTACATCATTTTTTTTTGTGAATGACACAAGTTTTTGGTGAGAGGAAGAAGAGTGAAGGTTAAGGGAGATGTTGTGTGATGACTGTGTTTTGGGCAATTTGCTTGGAGGACATAGGCGGGTGTTTCATACATTTGGGGAAGAGGAGCTGAAGATTAAGTTTGTCTTTTGGTACTGTTATGTGCTGTTAATTAGGTGGATTAGTGTTGTTTTAAAATGTTTTTTGGCAGTTTGTGGATTTCGGATCTCTATATGGTGGTTATCTTGTCCTCTGCATTGTACTTTTTTCATTTTAATTACTCGTTGCTCATAAAAAGTTGCTAAATTATTGTTCTCTCTGTCTTGTCAATGGTCATTTGACATCAATTATCTTTTGCTCTGATTTGTACCTTTTTATTTTAATTTAATGTTATATAATAAAAAAATAGCAAATACATTGTTCTCTTTTGTCTTTTCTGTCTCTCTCTCGATAATGTTTTTGACATTAGTTATCTTGCAACACAAATCCTATACTGTCTTCTCTTTGGTTTTGCATAGATTCTGTGGCATAGGTTGGGACATAGATCGATATTGTATCTTTTTCTTAATTGGTAGAGGTCTATTTCCATATGAAAATCACTATATTACTCAACACTGTATCTGCTTTTTTACTGCGTGCTCATGCTATTTAGCTAACCAAAAGGGTGACTGGTTAATGAAAATTATCTTTAATTTTATCAACAGGGTTTGACACCTTATGAAAAGAAGAAATATGTCTGGAAAATGCTTTACATTTATATGCTGGGCTATGATGTGGATTTTGGGCACATGGAAGCAGTTTCTCTAATATCTGCGCCTAAGTATCCAGAAAAGCAGGTGATACATTCTTTTCATATTAATCTAAAAATAGACTAGGGGCTAGTTTGGGAAGTGCTTTTAAATGATTGAAAGCGCTTTTAGAGAAAATATTTTTGGGTTCCCAAAGCACTTGAAGTGCTATTCCAGGATTAAAAGCAGTTTAAGTCATTTAAAAGCTGTTCCCAAACGAGCTCCAGCACTATTTTTCCACTTTGCTTGCATGTATGGAAATATAGCTTGCAAGTCTAGGAAGTAAACCCATCCTCTTCATTTTCTTTTCTTGTATATTAACCAATGGAAACAGTGATAGACATGTGTTTCAGTGTCACCATTCGTCACTCATATACCAAGTAGGTCTGGTGTTTGAATTTGAGGTGCTATGAATTGTTTTCTACAATATTACCTCTTGCTCTCATGCCAAGACCCCGAGTGGGTTAACTTTGTGAACACCATGCTGCTCAAAGTTCACCTGCTGACCTGGACTCCCATGTCCAGTTTTATACTTATAAGAATATAGTATTATATGGTACTTCTGCATGCCTTTTTTATAATATAAAATTTTAAAAAAATGCATAGTTTTATTCTCATGTGATTAATTTTCAATGATAGTAACCTAAACCTTTAATTCTATTATATTGCTTTATCTTCCGTCTCCCAAAAAAAAAAGTTAATCTCACACTTTAATTGACTTTCAATTATGCGAACATTTATTGCAGGTTGGGTACATTGTAACAGCATGCTTGCTCAATGAGAACCATGATTTTCTGAGAATAGCGATAAATACGGTGCGCAATGACATCATTGGTCGGAATGAGACTTTCCAATGTTTGGCGTTGACTATGGTATGGCCATAGAAATTCTGTTAGGTGTTCAGAACATATTAATCAATTTTATTTTGAAATTGTTAGTGATAATGATGAGATATGATTTTATCTTCTATTTGTCTTCCATAATAATATACAATTTAAATAAGTATTTTTTGAGTAATATCTTGCACATTTTATTTGTGTAGGTTTTTTCTGAACCTATTGCTTCCATGCTGTCTTTTGTTTGTCTTATTATTCTTGTGTCCCTAATGTACCAATCATTATTTCATTTGTATTCTGCTCTGTAGGTTGGGAATATTGGTGGCCGAGAATTTGCGGAGTCATTAGCACCTGATGTTCAAAAATTGCTTGTAAGGGGAAGTGGATTTTTTATGTTTGGTTGAAATTAATAGAAAATGATGCTGTTGACTAAGTGTTTTTTATTCAGATTTCTAGCAGCTACAGACCACTTGTGAGAAAAAAGGCTGCACTATGTTTATTGCGCTTGTATAGAAAAAATCCTGATGTTGTGAATGTAGATGGCTGGTACGTGAACATGGGATTTTCTTCACTACAGGATTTATTCCAATTTCCAATACTATTGCCTTTTGAGCTTATTTGATGGGTCTCTCTTTTTCTATTATTTTAGGGCTGACCGGATGGCACAACTTTTAGATGAACGTGATCTTGGTGTGTTAACATCATCTATGAGCCTTCTTGTTGCCCTTGTATCAAACCACTATGATGCTTACTGGAGTTGTCTGCCAAAATGCGTTAAAATATTAGAACGACTTGCTAGGAACCAGGATATTCCACAAGAGTACACCTACTATGGCATCCCATCTCCCTGGCTTCAGGTTCATAATATATACATTTTATTTTGTTTTATTTGTCAGACTTCTTTGCATGTACTGGATATCAAATAAATTCAGCCGCCTATCCTTCTGATTCTGATTTATCCTGTCAAATCTATTTTATTAAAATGATTGTAGCTACCTCTGCTTTATGTCTTTTTTCTGTGCCATCTCCTCTTGTTGTTGAACCTTCCACCAATTACAGTGGACATTGTCATTTTCTTCTTGCATGGGCCAGAGTACCATATATCCAGCATGATCCTTGCTACTTTAGATTATAACTCAACCAGCCTGACAGCTTAAACTTCTAGAGCATCCTAAAAAAAAGAAAAATTTAGCAGATGTGGCATCATTTTGTCTTCTTCGGATTTAATTGTAGTTTTTTAGGCAAAAGCTTTTTCTGGGGTTCAAAACTCCGATGATATTGAATCATCTTTAAGTGGCATCGGCCAGTACTTGAGAATATTTTTATTTTCTTGCTGTGCCTGGACAATTTACTGGGGCATTGTCTTTATCATTTAACTTTGTTGGATAGTCACTACACCCCATAAGGCTTGGCTTTAGGCATTGCTCGGGTGAAATGGTGAGCTGGAATGTAATGCATTCAGTAGTTTGTAGCATTGGGTGCGTATAAACGAATTTGTGTTATACTATAATTTTTGTTAGGACAGGTCAGGACAATGAGGGCTCTTCAGTATTTTCCAACCGTCGAAGATCCAAATACCAGAAGATCATTGTTTGAGGTCCATTTTCTGTCAATAACTTATTATCAGTTGTGGTGTTATATTTTTTGCATCTATTAAACCTTGTACTGGTGATTTCAGGTCTTACAGCGGATTTTGATGGGTACTGATGTTGTGAAAAATGTTAATAAGAACAATGCATCACATGCTGTTCTCTTTGAAGCCCTCGCTCTTGTAAGCTTTCTGCAGTACTTTTTATATATGATTGTGGTATTCAGGCACCATTTATTGAGAGTTTCCTTTTAATATGTGCTTAGAAAGTTATACTTGCATATAGGTACACCTATTTGACTGACTGTTTTTAATTCCTTTGTAATTCCTGTATCGTCTGGTTGTTTTTGGCATTGACTTCCACTAAATTCAAGCCTTTTGTGCTGCAAGTGAAAGCAACAAAATATGGTCTCTGTGCATACGTCTATAAAGCATTTATTATTTGCAGACATGCCATGCATGTATGTGCGTGGAATCATATGAACAGTTTCCCTTATAAATTTGTAAAATTGGTTTACTCTTGATTATTCCTCCCGTCCCCTTTGAAGGTTAATCAATATTTTTTAAATGTTTATAAATTTGCGTTTGTGCAGTCATCCGAGATTATGACACTCTTACTTAAATTAGTTCAGAATATTTTCTTTGCTAGCTATCTTTGCAACTCTGTTTCCTTTTCTCCAGAGCACACACAACACATGTTTCATCTATTATTTTTTTAAAGACAAGTAATTCTTATGTACTTTGCATTATCATTGCCCAATTTTAGGTCATGCATCTTGATGCTGAAAAGGAGATGATGTCTCAGTGTGTTGCCCTTCTTGGAAAATTTATTGCTGTCCGAGAACCAAATATCCGATATCTTGGTTTGGTAAGTGGTGAAAACACTTATGGTTTCTTAATTCTTATTAAAAAATTATCAATTGATAAATAATACATTTTTTTTCATTCATTTTAATGCAAACCTTGACTGAAGAAAACAAAGGAAACTGTGACTATAGCTTAGAAGAGTAAACATGTTGCTGCTGGATATGTGCATGATTTGAAGTCACATTGCTTGTGTAGGAAAATATGACCCGCATGTTAATGGTGACTGATGTGCAAGATATCATCAAGAGACATCAGGCTCAGATCATCACCTCATTGAAGGATCCAGATATCAGGTTTCAATTGTTATCTGTTTGGATACTTGCTGAACATGTTAGATATCTGGATTTTTTTCTGTAAAAAACATCATTTTTTTTTGTTTTGTTTTGTACCCGCTCTTATTTTAGTGCTCCCTTTTTCGATATCTTAAACCATTTTTGCTTACTGACATTGAATTATATGCTCAGTATACGTAGGCGTGCTCTAGACTTGCTTTATGGTATGTGTGATGTTTCAAATGCAAAAGATATAGTCGAAGAATTATTGCAGGTACATCCAATGCTTGGTGTGGTCTAGTTGGTTTTATAGGATTTTGGTAGATTGTCTCTTGTGTATATTAGCACGCATTTATTTTCTCTAAATTTCATTTGCATTTCAGTATCTTAGCACAGCAGATTTTGCCATGCGTGAAGAATTGTCTCTTAAGGCTGCCATTCTTGCAGAAAAGTTTGCCCCTGATCTTTCTTGGTAAGAGTCGATCTCATTTTGTTCTTCATATATCCAATTCGTTTGAAAAACATGGTCCTTCTCTGAAAGGAATACGATATTGGATAAATACGCGCGTGAAGAAATCTGAAAACAGGTCTATGATTCTGAGTTATTAAGCAACTGGGGATAGAATTAACTAAAATATCCAATGTGATGTAGAACTTGGTAGGCAGCTGACAGTGAAAAACAAAGAGAAGATGAGTAGATACTCAGGGAATAATAGGTGAAGAGACAGAGAAGCTTGAGGTTCATAACATGTATGGTGACTCTTGTTTTAATTTAAACTCATGTTTTGCTTATGAGGATATATGAGATATGTAGGTTACTGTTATAAAAGTGGTGATTTTCATGACCTTTTGAAAATGTGTTTCCGTTTTTGTTTTGACATATCTTTGACTCATTATGTGACGTTTTACTCTGAAACTACATTTACTATTTCCATCAATGTCTAGTACAAAATATACCTAAGATGACCTAAGATGTGACTGAATGGTGAAATCAGATCAATTTACCTAGCTTCTTTGTTTCTTGTTTACGTTGTATTCTACTTTGCTACTCAGGTTAGATAGGGTTAGGCTTTATTGAGTTTATTACACACACGCACACACATATATTTGAAAAGTTAGTATCAATCAATTTTTTGACTGGGTGGTTGATTCTGTTAATTACTTCTATTCTTCTGGATCATTCTGGGCATCTCTTTTGTTATTTGTGGACTCTTGAAGTAAATGTATTATGGGAAGTAAACCTTTGTCAATTGTGGACTCTTGAAGTAAATGTATTATGGGAAGTAAACCTTTGCCAATGGTTTGCATAATGATATTGTCCAGGTATGTAGATGTGATTCTTCAATTAATTGACAAGGCTGGAGACTTTGTTAGTGATGATATATGGTTTCGTGTTGTGCAATTTGTTACAAATAACGAAGACTTACAGGTTAGAGTGCTTTAGTGCAATTTTATTTATACATATGTTCATCTTAGTAACTATATGACTGACATGGTATTCACTTGATCAGCCTTATGCAGCAGCAAAAGCTAGGGAGTATCTAGACAAACCTGCTATACATGAGACTATGGTTAAGGTGCGTATAGACTACGATTTGATTTTCCAGACAAGCTTTAATTCAATACGAAAGAGATTATTGTATGCTGGGTTAAGTAACATGTTCTCTGTAAGACTTGTGTTGTCAGAATGTGAATCTGGACTACACATTGACATTCTGGCCAAAATCAACATGATCGATGTCCCAAGTTCAGTCTTGAAAAAGAATATTTTCTGGCATACGAGAGAGAGAGAGAGAGAGAGAGAGAGAGAGAGTCTGGACTACACATTGACATTCTGGCCAAAATCAACATGATCGATGTCCCAAGTTCAGTCTTGAAAAAGAATATTTTCTGGCATACGAGAGAGAGAGAGAGAGAGAGAGAGAGAGAGAGAGAGAGAGAGAGCTTACATAAGGGAGTTAGAATTGGCTTTGCTAGGAGTTTCTTTAGAAATTTCATTGGCATGATGTCATACGAGAGAGAGAGAGAGAGAGAGAGAGAGAGAGAGAGAGAGAGAGAGAGAGAGCTTACATAAGGAAGTTAGAATTGGCTTTGCTAGGAGTTTCTTTAGAAATTTCATTGGCATGATGTCATACGGGAGAGCTTAGCTTACACAAGGAAGTTAGAATTGGCTTTGCTAGGAGTTACATTAAAAATTTCATTGGCATGATGTCATACGCCTTGCTGCCAATAGGTATTTACTAAGGTCACTACTTGTCCACTGATATTGTACCTTTTTTACTTCTCTTTCTGTAATAAATAAAATTAGCATGTCTTATATAAAAAAATAGAAAGATAGGGAGGTTGAGAATTGTAAGATCGTTCTTGATGGAGATTCTCATTATGTTCTAAAAAGAGTCCTATGGTTTTGGGTTCTAAGTTGCAAATTCGTCTTGGGGCAGAATATATATGTAACACATGATTTTCAAGAGTATCATTTCAATTTCAATGTTCCAATCTTTAGTGTTCATTATTTCTCTTGCATATTTTTCTACCAAATTTAACCATCTAAATAAAATAAATGTCTTGATCTGCTTGGAATCAATACACATGCAACAGGTCAGTGCATATATCATTGGAGAATTTGGCCACCTTTTGGCCAGACGGCCTGGGTGCAGTCCAAAGGAATTATTTAGCGTCATACATGAGAAGCTTCCTGCTGTGACGTAAGGGAACTTAAATTTTTCTCTGTTTCTTAGTCTTGCTAAATCCAGTTATCATTTATGTATATATCTTACAGACTGTATGATGTATTTGCAGGACATCTACGGTACCTATTCTTCTTTCAACATATGCTAAGATCTTTATGCACACTCAACCTCCAGATCAGGAACTACAGAATCAGATCTGGTCAATTTTCAACAAGTGAGATTGCCCTCTGCACTTCTACTTTCATGAATTGGTTATTTTTTGTTTTCAAATTCTGTGTTTTTCTTTATTGCATGGTTGATTTGAGCAATATTCAGCAACAAGTGGGGTTGTATTTTGCATCTTTACTTTCATGACTTGGTTCTCTTTTGCTATTAAATTCTATGCTTTTCCTTGGCTCATAATTTCTTCCATTCAGATATGAGAGTTGCATTGATGTTGAGATACAACAAAGAGCTGCTGAATACCTTGCCTTAAGTAGGAGAGGTGCAGCTCTGGTGGATATTTTGGCTGAAATGCCTAAATTTCCTGAGCGGCAGGTACATTTGTTTTGCACTTTCCTTCAGATGATCAGCTAGTTCACAACACTATCAATTTCTAGGAAATTATTGAAACAAACTTTAATACATGTATTTTTGTTTAATATGTAGTCTGCATTGATCAAGAAGGCCGAAGATACAGAAGTTGATACAGCGGAACAAAGTGCTATCAAGTTGCGGGCCCAGCAGCAAACATCGAGTGCTTTGGTTGTGACCGACCAACGCCCTGCTAATGGGACCCCGCCTGTCAACCAGTTTGATCTTGTCAAGATGCCCAGCATGAGCAGTAATGCGGTTAGTATTGTTTATCTTTTCAATAACGATTCTGATTTTTCTTTCATTCTGTGTATATAAGGTATGCATATTGTAGTTTCACATACAAATATTATGTCTTATTTTGAGTGAATATTGATGCATGTTTGGGTATTGTTACAGGATCACAATTCAACTGACCAAGGGTCGTCTCAGGAAAATGGTACTTTGAGTAAAGTTGATCCTCAGGCACCTTCAGCAGATATCCTTGGTGATCTATTGGGTCCCATGGCTATTGAAGGCCCTCCCGCTACTGCTGGTCAGCCTCAGCAGAATGTAATCCCTGGATTAGGAGGTGATCCAGATGCCGTGGATGCTTCAGCAATTGTGCCTGTTGGCGAGGAGCAAATTCTGTTCAGGTACTTTCTGTAAACATTGTCTGCAATCATTTCTGTGTGCTGTATTTCTTCTAAGTTCTAAGATGTAGGTGGAACTTGAAAGTGTTCCAAATGCAGTGTATTATGCTCTCTAAATTGGACTATCAATCAGTAATTGTGTTTTGTGAGTAGCTTAATGCGCTAACTATTAGATAAATGTGTTTGCCTTTGATTCTTGTTTTTTGTCGGTTATACTTATTTTCTAATACGTGTAACTAATTTTACAATTCTTAAATGCAGCCAATAGGAAATATTGCTGAAAGGTTTCATGCTCTCTGCTTGAAAGATAGTGGTGTTCTATACGAAGATCCTAATATTCAGGTTTTCCCCCAAATTATAACCTTATTTTTCTTGTTTATAGATGTGATAGTTTCCACTTTTTCTTCAAGAGAGATTATGAAAATTCATCAAGGCCTTATTAGGCTTATAGTGACATTCATGTGATGTTATGCCAGATTGGAATTAAAGCCGAGTGGCGGCTACATCAAGGATGTCTTGTTCTTTTCTTGGGAAACAAAAATACTTCACCACTTGTGTCAGTTCAGGCTATAATATTACCTCCCTCTCATTTGAAAATGGAGCTCTCACTAGTACCGGATACTATTCCTCCCAGGGCACAGGTATTAAATGTTACTCTTGTAATTAAGCTTTGGTGGTTGATCTCTCTCTTTCTCATATTTATTAGCTTTGTGTATTTCTTGTTTTCTTTTTTTTTTTTCCGGTTCTGTAGGTACAATGCCCGCTTGAACTTGTGAATCTCAGACCTAGCAGGGATGTAGCAGTTCTTGATTTTTCCTACAAGTTTGGTAACAATATGGTACTTACACTAAAAATTTCTTGTGTTTTTTAGTGTCCTATGAAGCAGACCATAGGTCGTATGATATTTGTTGTGGATACTTATAGTAACCCTTTTGTAGGTCAATGTCAAGCTTCGCCTCCCAGCTGTCTTAAATAAATTTCTTCAGCCTATTCCAGTGTCTGCTGAAGAGTTCTTTCCTCAGTGGAGATCACTTTCAGGGCCACCTCTGAAGCTTCAAGAAGTGGTATGTCTGTCGAGGATTTGTAAAATTTTGTTATATTTGTGTTGAAGAAGAAATTCCTTTTACTTGTTGAAAATGATTGACAACCATTTATATTGACAGAGTGAATTCTGATGACATAATTGTTTAATAGTCTCTCTCAGTTCATTTTTTTCTGAATAATTAATATAATTGTTTATGGTGAAGTGTCATAATCTACTGGAAAGCAGGATGATAGAACCTGTTAACTGTTGCACATCAGAATAGGAAACACATGCTAACCATTTTGTAGTAAATTTTTAGCATTGTTCAGTCGGTTTATCGCTAATCCCAGGTTGAGGTTAAATTCCTATACATTGGCTAGCTACTTTATTTAGCACTGTGGTGATATTTTCCAGTAAACGGTGCAGGTTAGAGGTGTCAAACCAATGCCACTTGTAGAAATGGCGAATCTACTTAACAGTTTTCGGTTGATGGTTGTCCGGCACTTGTAAGTTCCCTTCCTATGTTTAAATTCTACTTGCTAGTCTGCCAGTTATTTAAGGTGGTGGCTAATTTATTCTCTATTTTAGGACCCAAATCCAAATAATCTTGTTGCAAGTACAACGTTTTACTCAGAAAGTACACGGGCCATGCTTTGCTTGGTAAGAATTTTATGTTTGTTTCCAGGACTATAGAATTTAATTGGTGGATTTGATTCCACCACTTTCGCTATTATGGCACAGCTGAAACCCCAATTGTCGGTTTATTGTTATAGATACAAAACTACGTTGCTTGGCCTTTCCCTTGTATAGGAATTTTATTAAGTTCAAGGAATTATCCATAACTTTATGACAAAATGACACTTTAGAATTGCAACAGGTTACTGAAATTTGCTTGTTTATGCTCCTCAGGTTAGAATAGAAACAGATCCAGCAGACAGAACACAGTTGCGTATGACAGTTGCTTCAGGGGACCCTACATTAACGCTCGAGTATGTATTGCTAACGTTAAATTTGTCAGCTTTTGGAAGATAGAATCCTCTGACCTCTGAGTGATGTGTAGGTTGAAGGAGTTCATCAAGGAACAATTAGTTATCATGCCTACAGCTCGCGAACCTGGACCGGTGCCACCAGCACCTCCAGTAGCTCAACCTACCAGTCCAGTTTCAGCATTAACGGACCCTGGGGCTATGCTGGCCGGCTTGCTGTGACAAAGTGAAGGTGATGTGTGAGGATTTGTTCATTATACACTCGTAAATCTGATTTATACAACCCGCCCAGTGGTCTCTCTCGCACAAAGTTCAAGTGGTGGATAAAGAAAATCCCACTGCAAGGGCTGGCGGAATTGAAGTGTGAGCTGATTTGTGCGGGCAGCTTTAGTGTGAGTGGATATCTCCACGGGTGGTTGGTCGGGGTTTTTAGATTCTTTATGTACAATGCAATTGTGCCTGCGTGAGAAATTTTCTCGGTTTTGGGGTGAGGGTATTTTTCTTTTTTCGTTCTCGTTTCACATTTTTTTCCCCTTCCCAGCGGCAGCGGATTGGTTTCTGTAGTTACGGGGACTTGGCAGGAGAATGTAAGATAACATGAAGTAGATTAGTTGTAGTGGAAGCTTGTATTTGTTTGTTGTTGATGCATAAATTTGTTTTTCTCAGTAATACAAACGATTGGGTGATGTGCAGTGTGATATGTTTCTTTCTGTAGAACCCAAATTAGTTTGTAAACTATAGATTTACCACAACTTGTCCTTGTACGGGAGTAATAATTTAGGTGGATGACTTTTGCAAGATTATAAGAGCATTGGCAATCGTAATTAGAAGGCCAGGGCAGTACAATTGCTCTTATCATTCATTTCAAACAGTAATTGCCTTTGTGCAAGTTGATCAGTCTGGAAGGAGGAAGGAATTAAAATAATTGAGAAAATACTTTGTAAATCTGATCATTAATTACTAACGTTGTACAATCATTAATTACTCTGTAAATCTGATCATTAAGTGATCATGTGGTAAGCGCAGAACCCACATCTTGCTGACTTGGAGGAGGAATTAAAATAATTGAGAAAATACTTTAAAAACAACTTGTTGAACGAGAAAAGTAACTAAATAGCACAAACAACTTTCCACAATACCAAAAAGCTTCCTCAGTACGACCTGATTTCATAACAAGAAAACTGTGGTTGGGATTTCATTTACACAAGCAATTCAATCAGATAAGCACAAAAAACCTGCTTATCGTCTGAACTCTCTATTCAGACCCAAAAAAAATATATGACGGCAGTGAAACAATAACACCCCATTTTCCGGTTACGGAAAAATCGGCCACTTTACGTTAGAGCTCCAAACCCCCTACTACTACATTGTGGTGCCTCACTATTTAATTGGGAAGTCATAATTCAGCTTCCCGAACTTCTCAATGTAACTGAATCTGACTGAGAAATGCCGGGGGAAGGTAATAACCGTATCATCAGTCCGTCACAAGCAGTACCATTAACAAATTACCTCCGGGGTTAGAGAACTGAAATTTCCATATTTGATATCTTGCCCTTCTCATAAATCAAAAAATTTAACCATCAAGAGTCGTTACCTTGCAAAATCTCGTCCAGGAGATCTCCCTCTAAAAATTGTTTACAGAACAAAGCCTGAAGCCTTAGGATGGCAAAACAGCTACCGCCACTCTCTGCACTGGCCACACTTCCAGCTTCCATTCATCGGTGATGATTCAGTCCAAGGAGAACACTCATTGTGTATCAATAGCCCACAGTTCTGGCAGGAAAGATCGGGGGATGGTTCTTGAAGTGAACATACCTGACATTGCATCATATCAACAGCAGACTTTACTTCATCAGTGAAAGTAGCTATGTTATATTGATCAGGGCCTCCATCCTGGAAAACTGTATATTGGTTTTCCAGATTTCCTGATTCATCTGCAAATGCTTCGAATCCATCCAACTGGTCACCATCATCAGGTGCAAGCAACTCATTGATAGTGAAGACAGTTTGCGGTTCCATATTCTCATAGTTCAGATCTTCATAGTCATGCACCATCTCACCTTCGAATCCATTCATGGAGGCATCCCATTCAACATGGGATGGTGCAAAGTCCATGGAATTTGACAGGTAATTCATTTCACCATGTGTAGATATTCCAGGATGAGATATGTTACTCTCATGAAAGCCATCTACATCCTCTTCACGCTTAATACCCCTTCTCACTGGTAATTTCCTAGGCCCTGGCTCAGCAGCATTCCATTGAGCATTAACTTCTGAATCGTACTCTGTAACTAACTCAACTTTAGCGAGAGAAAAGAGAAGAGGATCACCATCCTGCATGGGCACTTCCTCCATGGGAAATATTGGAGTAGCAGGTTCGTACAATTTAGAATCAGATATGGAAATGGTTGCAGAATCAGAGTCCTCTCCAACTGTTTCTTGCTTTGAACGCCTAGTGTGAACCTTCTTATTCTCAGGCATCTTTATGTTTTTAGAATCAGTGTAAGGACACACAGGTGATTTTATCCTCCGACACTTGCAACACTTGAAACCAGCCACTTCAGAAATCTTTGACTCGTTGAGCTCAACAGCTTCAGCATGGTACCAATCTGCATCACCACAAACATAATCCACCTTAGACACATGCACACTCAGAGAGAGAGAGAGAGAGAGAGAGAGAGAGAGAGAGAGAGAGAGAGAGAGAGAGAGAGAGAGAGAGAGAGAGAGAGAGAGAGAGAGAGAGAGAGAGAGAGAGAGAGAGAGAGAGAGAGAGAGAAAGAGAGAGAGAGAGAGATTGCCAAAAATACCACTTATGGGAGCACACTTACTTTTGCAAGTTTCGCAGCATATATACATCAGATCTGACTGATATGGCATATGGCACAAGTGGCAAACAGGATACAACCCATGCACTTCTGAACCATCCGCAAGAAGTATGTTATTAAGCAGGAAATCAGTGTCAGTTTCCTGGCCGTTCTTCTTTTTCCATATAATACCCCAAGAACAAATGCCGCGACGTCTTTTTGCTGCCAAAGCAGACTCTGAAGTTGCTTTCTTCTCGGAACGCGTCTCTTGTCCTTTGACATGTGTTACTGGTTGATTGTAATTTTTGGTCCGTGCAACACTGGTGACTGTCATGGGAGTTTGATATTCTTGCATTTGCAAGTGCAAAGGACTAGTTGGAGACTCCTTCAAGTTTTCATTTTTAGTGAAAGCCTTTGCATGGTAGCACTGCTTGCAAGTGATCAAGAACTCAACCTCTTCATTTGTAGAAACTGTTGAACTCATAGTACAGTCCTCATGACAATAACCTGACAACAATACAGAAGAAATTGCAAACATTGGTAAAAAAAACTTTAAATACGTTTAAGAAGTTGGTATTTGATCATATAATTAGCAAATCCTGCATTTTAAAAAAGTGGGTAGTTACTTGGCAACTCTTGCTTAAATCACATTTTTTAAGAGATTCCTAATTAAAACACTGCATTCGTAAAGACTAAAAGAAGGTTGTGTCAATGTACCTTGACAGATGCTGCACTTGAATGCATTCCTGAATTTACAACAGAGAAATAATGACTCAGTTTTTGACATAGCAGTATAGAGAACTTAACAATTAAAAAGAATAAATCATATGTTGTAGTTACCGCATTAAAACATTCAGTTGACATGAAGAGCAGGAACACAAGTCCAGATTCTCTCTCTTGCACACAAGATAGAAAAATATGTCCCTGCGGGGAACCTTCCACTGCTGTTTCTGTAACTTGCGAAACATATTCAAAGGCTCCTCAGCTGATGGCAAAAGAGCTTTGCCCACCCTTTCTTCATATTCTTTAATCAAATATAAAGGAATGCGCAGTTCAGGAAACCAAAACTTGTTATATCCATCTTGACTTTCCTCTGTTTCAATGATACTCTTCATTACACGGTTAGGCAGATGCTTTTGACTACCAAAATCAACCCCATATATGGTACTGTTCTTCACAGATTTTTTATCACATATATTTGCATTTCTAAAAACAGATGCATCTGTCTCCACACCCTTCCCATCAGGGAGGTTCTGCTCAGGACGAACAAGATCACTCCATCTCAGATGATAGTCCAAATATCTGACCTGGTGAAATATTACAGTTGAAGTTTCTTAAGTTATCAACTACATACATCACCAGGTAACTTAATATGTTGCCAGGCCAAGAGATATAGGGGTGAACAGAGCAAGGAATTTAGGTATTTGCAAGATAATAACAAACCTGAAGCGCAAGCTGTGATGCGTTCTTACTCATTTCAACTGCAGCCCTCCATACCGACTGCCTGCTTCTTTTAGGAATCTCAGAACCATCAGCATAAGATATACCAGGTATTTTCTTCCAACCACCTAACGGACCACCAAAAAAGCCTTTAGTACAGATCCCTGGAAGGAAAACCTTCAATAATTCAAAGATATCATAGGGGAGGAAAACAGCTAGTTTTGTGGAAAGGCAAAGACAGAAGTTACCCTGGCGAGCTGCTTTTTTAACCAGTGAAAATGATAAAATTGCTCTCTGGAATATAAGCTTTGATAGCTTCCCACCTTGCCACCAGACAAAACTCTGGTCATGGCAATCATCATCTTTATCGTCATGAATCGCATTCTGCTTCCTACCCCTCCTGCTGTTTGGTCCGCGTTTTTGTGTAGGGCCAACAGAGCAAGTTGCACTTTGAATCATCAAAGATTCAACCAACCAATCATCCACCAGCTTAATCCACTCCCCAGATAGAGCAATGGTTCGGATATTTGCCTCAAGCTGCAGATAAGAGACACATCATCCATCAGAACAAATGCATAAGCATGAAAATATATATCACAAAATAATACACCCATATATAGGATATACAAGGGAATTAAATAAACCGCAGGTCAAAATTTAGGGAAGAAAATAATATGAGATGCATAACTTGTTTCAAGGAACCTACCCAGGCATCTTATGCATTTTTGAGTCACACATATGCACACACTGCTGCTATAAATATTGTTTAAAAACTAACGAAAAGCAGAGAAGTAAGCACTATGCTGCAACCAAAGTAGTCATAAAATACAAGAGGATTATTTAACTAAAATATTCCGGTACAGATTCAACAGAATAACTAAAAAGTTTTCACTATGCTAGAATAATGAAGTGATTGCACTTATATTGCACTCATTCCTACTAAATTAGTAAATTTGTATAACTTGGCTGGCATTGGTCTTTCTCACTAATCTTTACAAGTCATGTGAAACTTAAAAAGAAAAAAAATAGCATATATATTACCAAAAGACGAGCAAAATGAAACTGATCAATGAAATTAAAATTTTAATTGGCAAACTTCAACTTCAAAGAAAATTGCATAATTGCCAATTAGTAGAAATTTCAAATCTCATGCTTTCAATATATCTACTGAACTCAAAAATTTAAATTGAAACTCAAATCAGATCGCAAAAGTTAAGACATAAATGGCAATAAATGTCCCTATAATCCTGCAACTGTCCTAATGAGTGGTTTGAAATTGGTCCTCTGATTTCAGTAGTCCATTTAATCTAACCAAAATCATTTTAGGCATCACTTGTCAGCAGTTGACATAGGAAGTTTAATGATGAAGGCCAGATCATAAACAGTGCCATTAAGTTTCATGTGGTGGAGCTCATGGAAGATAGAAACTAAGGCCCCTTTCACTAAACATACTGACCAACTAATATCTTCACAAAAAAACAGACGTCAGGATATTAAAAACTTACTTCAAGCAATAGCGCTTTTATTGCACGGAAACTTGATCCTTGATAAATTTG